CAGTAGCATCACACTTCTGATTGGGTGGTATCTTCCACCAGCCCCCAATGTGGCGCCAAGCACCAAAAAGGAGACGGATTGCTGCGGCATCGCTTGGACAAGTCATTCATTTCTCCAGTCGCTCCCTGTTCATTAGTCCGGATATTGACAGCTTTGCCCCGACTGGTAGCTCATAAGACTGCTATCCAATACATTGTCGTCATGTCTACAGAGTATTGCTCAGTTGACTTTCCAAGAAACTCAGGAAGAGGTCCATCATCCATGATCGACTTTTGTACCTATCTATGTGCCTGACAAGGTTAAGGCTGCTTTTGCCCCTCCATCTCTTCTCCCTACAGGGATAAACGAAAACTTGCCCCGCAATTTCTCCTCATCGTCCTTTCCCCAAGAAAGAAACTGTCGAGCTGGCCTTATGGCATCAAGGGCAGAATTCCATTGCATTCCAGCATTATGAAGCCAACTGCTTGCCTATCGGGTCCCACACCCCATCAGGGGCGCTTGTGTTACGTATCTGCCTAAATCTTCTGCATTGTCAGAACTTCAGATCTACAATCAACAATGAAACCAGACTATGGATTGGCATTTTCTCCATCTCAACAAATAACGCGGTGGATACACTCTACTTTTAGCGCTTGCCTAGGTCATTCGTTGGCTGCCATGAGTCCCTGAGGGCCGTTAATATCCCTGATAGCAATGGTGGAGTGGATGCTGCATCTGTGACCTGACTCCATCTACCCACCCTTCCCCTCTCCAGCTGACAGGGACCATCACAACAGACTATTTAAGGGTCTTGTGGTGCTTCTCTGTCCTCTTGACTTCTGTTTCATTCTCTCTTCCCTTCTGAATCTTCTCTCTCCCATCCGCTCCTTTCTCTGTTGCTCTAATCGTCACCACGAGTGCAGAATCAGCCACAATGTCTTACTACGGAGGACAGCCTTACTACCAGGAGCGCCCTCCTTATGAGCGCCCCCCCTACGACGCCCCGCCCGCCGACAGACCTCCCTACGAGCGCCCCCCATATGACAGACCTCCTTATGACCGCCCGCCTTCCGACAGACCTCCCTACCAGGGCTCCCCTTACGAGAGACCTCCCTACCAGGGTGGTCCCCCTCCAGAGCGTCCTCCCTACGAAGGCGCCGACCGCTCTTACGACTCTCGCCCTCCATACGCAAGTCCCCCCTCGTCCTTCCGGCCCCCCCCGGTTCCTCCCCCCTCCTCTTCCCATGGGCTGGACCCAGGAATGGGAGCCCAGCGCCCGCCGTGCTTTCTTTGTCGAGGTCGCTACCGGCCGCTCCCAGTGGGAGCCTCCTCTAGGCGACTCCGACGGCTCCCGTGACCTGGCGCCTGCCGGACCTCCGGGCGGATACTATGGTGCTTCTTCACCTGCTCCTCCTCCGCCGGAGGGCGGATACTACCCTCCCCAGCAGGGTGGGTACTACCCACCTCAGCAGGGCGGTGAATACGTCGACCCCGAGGAGCAGAAGAAGAACGAGCGCAAGAAGATGATGCTTGGTGCTGCCGGTGGCCTGGCCCTCGGTGTTGCCGCTGGTGCTCTCATCAACCACGAACTGGGTAAGTTATACCTCCTCCCAGGTCGACGACCATTGCTGTTACGCATTGTGGTTCTACCTTACTAATTACTGTTGAACAGAGGAGCACTCGAGCTCGAGCGACGAGGAGCGTGAAGGCTCCCCCCAGCGTGAGATCTACCACGAGCGTGAAGTATACATCGAGCGTGACGTCGAGCGTGATGAGGAGCCTGCCTACGAGCCCGATGACTGGTAGTGGTAGGCTGAGCCTTCCTTATCTTCTTCCCCTAGATTCTCGCGGTTTTGAGTTTAAATTGAGCGATACTTATTTTCGGGAAGTTTATTTGTATTTAATGCAACCACCCTTCTTTTTTTTTTCGTTCCATAAAAGACTTCATGGTACTTAGGTTGGCACGGTTTGCATAGTGCGAAGGGGTTACATTGAGCCAGATACTCTAACCCGATCCTGCAATAGAATGTTCAAATAAACGAAATAAAGACCAATCCAAAAAAATGAAAAAAAATCCAAAGAACCTACTAACAAAACCCCAAATCAACGCGCGGTAGGCGGCTAGCCGCGTCCATCCGCCATCATAGAACAGGAGCAGGCTTGTGGTTGGGGATGTCGTCCAGGTGAGGGCCTCGGGTGGTGAATTGGTTGGGGGTCGGCAGATGGCGGTCGTCCACGGCAAGGATGGGTGGTCGTGTAGGAGGGTTAGTAGCGCTTGATAGAGGAAACTCATTGGGATAACGAGCTTCATGAGGAGGAAGAGGAGGTCGATGACGGTGGCGACACGGTCTTTGGACTTGTTGCTGTTGCTGTTGCTGCTGCTGTTGCTGCTGTCGGGCCCGGGCTCGGGTGAAGGTGGTTGGAGGCATCGGAGGGCTAGGTATCTGGATACTGCGTAGGGGTGGGAAGCGTTGGCATTTTGATGATGGAGATGAAATGTGAAGATTGTCAAAGAAGGTTTCGTGCAGTCCGACTGGTCGGGTGCTTGATTCCTTGGACCCTGTGCGTGAGCATCCTTTTATATACCCCGAATCCTCATTGATGCCTTAGTTCATCTAGATGTACAGTATAGTATACCCTATACTGTACATGACTCGGTCAGAGTGGCTCGACTATGTCATTGCCTTGGTCCATGAGTATACATGATTCAGGTAAGTGGTTTGACTATGACTAGGTTGAAGTTAATTCTGCAAGCAGAGGACTTTATGCATGTAGATTGACGTATGTAAAACTCCCATGCTGCAGATTTCATCATTTCCTGCTCTATAATATGGACAGTTTGTATGCCGTCGGGCGGTGGGTTGTGGTCGACATGACTCGGTCTCAGATCACATGCTATGCTCTTCAACTTTCAGCCACCAAATGAACTCTTGATCTTATCTCTGCTCTACTAAAGGGAGACGCTGATTCTGCACAACAACAACAAGAACGACAACAACAACAAAAATAACCTGCTTTCCGACCCGAGCCACCTTTGACGATCTCAATCGGTGTCCTCTTATTTCTCAATCTCGCTAACCACAAACGGAGCTATGCTCGCCAGCTTTTCTTGAGTCTCAGTGAGTTCACGCGCAGGGGTCGATTGCGCAATCACCCCAGCCCCAGCCTGCACCCACTGACAACTTTGATCCTGGAAGACAGTGCGGAGAACAAGGGCTGCCTCAAGAGTCTTGTTGCCTTCGATCATCAGTACAGCACCCGAGTACAACTCCCTAGGACGATGTTCGAGGCGCTGAATGCCCTCCAGTGCAGCCTGCTTCGGTATGCCAGACGCTGTGATAGAAGGAAAGAGGACGTCGAGGGCGTCCCAGGGGTCATTCTCCGGCTTCAGGAAGCCAGTCACGGTAGACCCGAGATGCTGGACACTGCCCCGGGGTCGGACTGACATCAGGTCCTCAACACTGACTGTGTCCGCTGGACAGAGCCGCTTCAGCTCGTCGATCGCTTCCCGAACTGAGATTACATGTTCAACAATCTCCTTGGGATCGTTCAGCAGTTCCTGTCTGAGACGCTCGACCTCAGTGTCTTCACCCTTGCGCGATCGCGTTCCAGCCAGCGGCTCAGTGGTCACCTTCCCCTCTTTCACTGACATCACGAGCTCGGGACTGAAGCCGGTCGCTTGGTAGCCCCCGTGGCTCAGGGAAAAGCTCCGTGCGGGTGCGTTGCAGCGTCGACCACACAGCAGGGTGGCCGGCATGTCCACTCGCCCGGTGATTTTCACCGCTCGTGAAGGGATAACCTTCGTATACTTCCCTTCGGCGATTTCCGCCAGCGCGGTTTCGACTCGAGCCAGGTATTCTCCCGCAGAGTCTTGCGTGTCGATACTTTGATTCGGTGTTGGATCCACACTGGTGGCACCATCGATCAGGTCGGCCAATGCTTTCACATCTTCATTGTTATCCCCCGTCAGAACAACCTTGTCTCTTGAGAACGATATCTCGATGCGCGGGACCATCAAGCTCAAAAGCGGCCATCGACCGGCCGTGTATGGAATGCTGCGCGCATGTGCCGCGTAGTTGAACCCGACATACCCGAATACCTTGCGGACGTCGTTGGCGTGCTTCGACACAAAGTCTCTTGCGATATCCGCCAACGGACCGGTGATCGGGTGCGATTCTCTGTGAGAATTGGTGGAGATTATCGCCGTCTCCCCTTTGGGGTCAACTATGAGTGACGAGTGACTGCCAATGCCCAGGTACCATTTTCCCTCTCGCTCATACGCATAATAGTCATCCCTCTTGTGGGCTCGCAATATTTCAACCACTCTTTCGAGAGCGTCAGGCCTCCCCGGGATTAGAGCTATGGTAGTGCGACTAAAGCTCATGTTTTCTGGTATGGGCGAAGACACTGTTCAGGAGGAAAAGAGACAAGTGGTTTTGGAAATCGGCAACAAAGCTCTCAATTTAGGTCAGTATTGTGCGGGAGATGTTTGCACCATCATAGACTTCTTGTTACTCACAACTGGAAGAGATTTATAGCTTTCATGAGCAATCCGTCCCCACAATCACTCTATCCAATAGACCCTGTTCGATGCATGAGCTCTGTGGTTTATTGGAAAGCTGCGGGTAATTGACCCGCTGGTCTGGGCTCAGCTGAGGAATGCAGAGATTTGCATACTCACATGGCAGAGTGGCTAATTCGGTCTGATATCAGAAAGCATTGGCCGTGGTCGTGGCGATGATTGGTCAATATAACTGATATGAGAAAAAGCAAAGTACAGCCGATCACTAGTATCATTTGCCGCCTCTCATATATTGTTTTTATTGCATCATCCCAAGCTAGCCATACTTGTTCTGCAGCAAGATCGGACTCACCGATCAGATATCATGTTCTCCTGCAGATTCAGGTTAGCTTGCAAGATGATGTGTAACCTCGACTGTGACCAAGCCAATCTCTGTGTAACGCAGAGCCATGGCCATGGAACTTTTGAACATTGTGAGATCTGGATTGTCGATTCGCGCCAACCTCTTACGTATTTGCAAGTGATGCAAGAGCAACGTACCAGGACATTGAGCAGAATAACCCCGAGCTCCGATTAACAGGTCCAACTCTGAGACATCTGTATGTGAGCTCATCTCAAGGATTCTTACGTACTTTCTTGCGCTCGTGAGAGGTTGGCCGAGTACAGGATTCCACACCTGAGTGCCTAAGCAATAGCAGCGAGTGTGTGGCCATCGTCGTAGTTGAATGTACTAGCAACGAATGACGGACGACTTCTCAGGTGCCTATTCCATTGCCTTTCGGACTAAGGTGGTTTCGCCCAAGACCAGTTATACAAGCATGATCAGACCTGGGCAGCGTCGGGAGAACCAAAAAGTGGCTTATGCTCGAACTATTACTGCGAAAACGGCTACACTACCATGAGTGACTTTGTACGAACATGCCAGGATCCCGAAGTCGGAATGTGCGAGTAGCGGCACTCGCTGTCAGCAGAGGGAAGAGTGACTCCATCGCAAGCCGAAGACGTCATCAAATACGGAGACCTCATCTGCAAGATCTACTATTGCTTCTTCGGCTTCTTCGCGTCTTTTCTATTCGTCTGATTTACTAACACCCGATCTTGAAGATCTCTCATTCCTGCTCCCCGAGTATCAATAATGGTTCCCTCCCAAGTCAAAACATCCTTGAAGCCGCTGAAAAGATGCCCGATGTGGCATTCGACTCCATGCCTTGTCAGTATCACAAATAGTAAGACCTTTACAGACCGACTAATCATGACCTCATTTAATTCCGTATCGGTTGATTGGCAGCCAAACAGTTCGCAGATGATTTCCGACGCGGACAATCCTCAAACCTAAATTACCGAGAAGGAACTATAAAATTCCTGACGAACCTGGCCTAGAACCTCACGTACAAATCTTGATACTTTCAATCTTTTACTCGTCAGAACAACTTATCAGCTCATCTCAAGTGACAATGGGAAGCGCGATAATTCCAGCGGACGATTATATCCTCGGAAGAAGCATCACGGACTCCGTTAGGTACCTTCTTTGATGTCTCCCTACTTATGATACTCCTGCGATGAAGGTCACACAGACATGAGAGGTGCTGATTCTACTACAGATTGGATGCCCAGCATCTTCTATGGAAATTTCACAAGGGGTACGAGCTACATCCTGAAATCCCAGTCAGCAATGACATGAAGATTGCCGATCTTGGTTGCGGCACAGGGTTTGTTATATGACAACTTGGTCGAGCTGAATCCTCTGCTCACGATATGCATAGAATCTGGCTCCTTGACCTGTCGAGACAGCTGCCGTCAACCGTGCAACTACATGGCTTTGACAGTAGTGGCCAACAATACCCACCCTCTGGACTGTGGGCGAAGAACATGACGCTCAGCGTGGTGGACCTGATGTCAGATCTACCACCCTCCCTGACGGGACAATATGATGTGGTGCATCTGCGGATGTGGGCGAGCAATGTGCGCGAAGGCGAGACAGCTACCTTGATCCGTCAAGCGAAACAACTCCTAAGTTAGCTCAACTAGTCCACTACTGACTCCACATCATCGTCTTTGCATGCTGATACACGCCACGCACAGAACCGGGGGGTTACATCCAGTGGGAAGATGCGGACCTGCACAACCAGGTCACGGAGGGCCGTGTGGCGGAGGAGGCCGCTGCGCGGATGAGCGACTTGTTTCGGCGGGTCAACCGCAAATACATGTGCGTCCTCCTACCAGAATCATAGCCCTATATATGTTGACATGACTTTTTAGATGGGTCTCCGAGCTCCCCGATCGCATGCGCAAAGAGGACTTGGAGATCATCGAGTCTGACCACGGCCGGTTTGCCCCCCCTCTAGTGGACCTGTGCACCCGGACCTACATTCTAGCCCTACGCGAGTTGACGCAGGGCATCAAAAGAGGACTGTCCGGGGACATTCTGTTGTCAGTGTCCGAGCAAGAGGTCGCTCTTCAGTGTCTTGCAACACAGCAGAAGGAGAAGATCATTTACAACTGGTCCCCGGTTACGGTGCTGGCTCGGTCTAGGGAGTAATCACTTGGTTCGGGACAGGGGGGACGAGAAACACCATGTGCCACCTTACGTACGACAATTTCTCTTTTTTGTTCTCATGCAGATCAGTGCTTGATTTTCTGATGATGATGCCGCGTAATTCGAATATAAAGTTTCTAGATGGTCAAAACTTATCCTTGAAATCATGCAGACTTATTGGTAGGCATGTCAACCTTTCCTGCTTGTGATGCCCCGTGGCATGCAACACTTGTCTTTCAAATGCCAATCGTAGTAGGGAGTTTCTTCAGGGTGGTCGGATATCAGTACCTTGCATTCCGCAGGTTCTTCACCAAATGAGATCTAAGGGGCTTCATGCCGATCCAGAAATGCGGCCTTATCTGTAACCAATGCATTTCCGAGATTGTTCCCAAAACTCGTTGAACAGTGAGCTGCAAGTGCTTCGATGGTGTTCGGTATGTCTATTGTTATCATTGTGGGTTTCGTCTGCAGAAGTTGACCAGCAGGATTTCTACCTGCAAGCTCGAACTCGTGATTGTTGTTTTGAGTTGGTGCTGTGGACTAACTGCCTACACTATCTCCGGCTGCTGACCGCAAACTACCAAACTGCAACAAACAACACTTCTCCCACGACTGAGTATTTCTCTATTGTACCTTGACAACTCACTGCTATCGTCTAATCATGTCACTGTCAACTAAGAACGTCAATCTCGTGTCTACCTTGACCCCCAGTCCGAGGGTCTACGAAGAATGCATCGCACTAAAAAGAAGCTCAATGGTCAACACGCTTGTTTGGTCGGCTTTTCACCTGCTCAGAAGACTTCCCTTTGAGCTACACAGAATTGCCAAAAGATTTCTTTGACGACAGTTCGTAGCGAGGTCGACGATCATGTGGACTTTTGTGCACTGCACTAGAAAAGCTCCTGATCGACACCCATCCCATACCCATTCACTTACAAGGATGCAGCATATATCTCAAAGAGGGATATATGGCATCCCTTTCAATAGCTAAATGACTACTCCACCACCAACGGGTAAGTCATTACTCGATTTCATATACCATATACCAAAAAGCCATCCCAACTGCGTCAATCGTTACCATTATCTTACAATTAATCCTCCTTGAAAGGACAGCCCTTCGCACTACTCTCCGAGCGCGTTTTATTCTCGACAACCTCCGCCGTCAACTTCATCAGTCTATCAGCCAGCTGCATATCATTCGCCTTGTCGCTGCCTTTCTCCACGATGCACGGCGGACAGATGAACTGCCCGCCCTCCGTCGCGACGGTGGCCGCGTACATGGTCGACACGGCGCCCTGGAACTGCGTCTTGCGGAACGGCTTCAGCCCGATCGACATGCCGAAGCCTAGCAGCGGGTACGCCTCGTGAATATGGACATTCGTCTGCGCCGTGTCCACGATGCCCGGGTGCGTCGCGTTGACGATGATATTGGGGTGCGTGGATTTGAGATGCTGGTTCAGCCACTTGGCGTGCAGGAGGTTGGCCAGCTTGCTGCGGCCGTACAGGGCGTTGGGGTCGTACTCGCGGTTCAGCTCCTCAACGGAGGCGAACTCGGTGTCGGCGGGCGCGCTGCTGTGCACGTTGGAGGAGAGGTTGACGATGCGGACCGTATTGCCGGCGTCGGCCGTCTTCTTCAGCGTCGGCAGCAGGTGCGAGGTCAGCACGACGTGGCCCATGTGGTTCGTCGCCATGTGCTGGTCGATCCCGTTGGTCGGCGCCAGCTGCCGGGTCATGATGCCCCGCCCCGCGTTGTTGATCAGGATGTCGATCCGGTCCGTCTGCGAGGCGATCTCCCCCGCCACATGCGCCGTCTGCTCCCAGTCCGACAGGTCGCTCTGCAGCCAGATGAAGCGCTTGCGCTTCTCCGGGCCGAACTCCTCCTCGATGGCCGCGAGGGCTTCGTCGACGACCTCCTTGCGGAGCGATGTGACGAACAGCTTGGCAATGTTCTTCGATAGGAGGGTGTGGGTGCAGCCGAAGCCGATGCCTAGACAACTTGTTAGTACATGGTTACTTTTTCAAGCGCGAATTGGAGGAGTCCATCGAGTTCACTATACCTTCATTGCCGCCCGTCACCACCGCTACCTTGCCACTAAGATCGGGAACCTCCTCTAAACTGAACTTGTGCTCGGCGAGCTCATGAGACGGCCCACCGAAGTTCTCGGCAATTGTGTTCTTGATGGTCTGCATTTTGGATGGGAAATGTGTGAGCTCGGAGATAATCCAAGAGAAAAAGCCTTGATTCAAACCCAGGCAATTCCTACGCTGTGGTCTACAATAAGTAGAAATTGGGAATTGGTATCTTCGGGGATGACGGAGCCAAATGGTGATGTCACATGGAATCAGAGGCGGTGATGCAGCAATGTGGTCATCCGCTTCGTCCAGAATTTCATTGGCTTACTGGGGCGTTTTGCTTTAAGCTTATTAGTAGATCTGGGACTTGATCCCGGTTACCGATCGGTAGATACTTGTGAGCTAGATGGGGTCGGTATCTGAGAAGGGAATAATCCTGCTGCTGTCGGGGATTTCTTGGCGCATACCTCCGTCGGGAAGGCCTTATCGCAACTTTCGTATATGATCAACTCTGACAACAACTCGACTTCGTACATTCGTGTTAGTATAAATTTGAGCTTATTGGCCTCCATGTTCTTATCTATCACCCTCTGCAGGTCATAATTCCGATCGCTATATCGTGACGGACATCGTCGAATTAAAGTCACGGGTCACGGGTATAGTACCATAGTTCCCATTCCGGAAAGAGCTAGATACCATCGCACCTTTCAGGTCGAGCAACCTTCATCCTCTACTGGGCTATCAACTCTAAGCTTTGCAACGCCATTAAGATGCACTCATACGAGCCCCGACACACATAAAAAGACCCATATCGTAGGTTCTCGAGGAAAGTCAGAACTGATCAAGCGCGAGCATCAAACAGCATTCCCGGGGCCATACATACTCATCTGTACTAATAGAGAATACAGTAACTTATCAGCTGGACATGAGAGAGATCCGCAAAAAGTTGCTGTGGATGTTTTTCACATAAGAAAAAAACAAAACATATATATAGCCTACAAGGCAGGTTTATATTAAAATATTTACCTCCGATAGGGGGAATCGAACCCCCGGCTGCCGTGTGAGAGACGGCGATGTTAGCCACTACACCATATCGGATGTGGGATGCATTAAGCTTCTCATGTGCCAATATAAGACATGAGCTAAAGCTACAGTCATTCAACGGCTTGATGAACCCGGGCCAGTAATGAAGGGGATGATATCGGATTTGCGCACATGGGACATGGGATTTGGAGGCTGGGTTGTTCTTGGTATGAACAGTCATAAGCCGAGGCTTCTTTTTGCTTTTTCGTTGTTTTCTTCTCCACCCCCCCCCAAGTTTGTATTGATTGTACTGGCTGTCGCTGTATTAGATGATGTGATGATGCGTACATAGAATGCTGTTGGATTGGGTCTCGGTCCTGTTTATGGGCGTGACTACATTGTATATGCATCTAGTGTATGGCGTTAAACTGTACTAGATTCACATATTAGACGGAGTACTGGGAGATAGCCATTGCAAGTGGCATGCGCTCCATTCCAGCCATCCATTAAAGCACACCGAGCAGGCGTAAGCAATCAACATAGAACAAAATCACTTGAAACAAACAATCTCCCCATGCAACATCCCATACCATCCCTGCTCGCACGCCACAAACTCCTGCCACCCGTCCACCACCACCTCCAGCTCTTCCCTCGTCGCCAACCCACTCTCCACCGCCCGATCCGCAAACCCCGAGTTGCGCGCCCGCTCCGCCATGGAGCCGCCCCAATACTCGCGCTCCTCCGCCGAACTGAAACACCAGCTGCCCGTGCTTTTCCGGATCTGCGTCTGCGCGAAGCCCGCCTCCTCCGCCCACACGTGGATCCTCGCCCCGGGGTGCGGGTTCCCGCCGCTCCGCTGCGCCAGCTCCCGGGTGAGACGATCCCAGAGCTCGATCCCGCGGTTCGCCGGGTACCAGGTGTGGATGCTGGATTCCCGGGCGGCGACGATCCCTCCGTTGGGTTTGGCGACACGGCGCATCTCGCGGAGAGCCTGGACGGGGTCGGCGATGTGCTGGAGGACCTGGTGGACGTGGACGAGGTCGAAGGTGTTGTCGGGAAAGTCCAGAGCGTGGATGTCGCCGACGTCGAAGGTCACGTTAGCGAGGCCTTCGGTGGCGGCGAGGCGCCGCGCGGTGGGGAGCGGGTCGGCGAAGGAGTCCAGACCTGTAACCTGGGCGGTTGGATGGCGGCGGGTTAAATCAATGGTTATGCTGCCTGGTCCGCAGCCGATGTCCAGGATTTTGAGGTTGGGGGCGGTGGACTGGAGGTGATCGAGGTGGGGGAGGAGGTATGGTGCGGAGTTGGCGAGGGTGCGCCAGTTGTGCGTGCGGAGGACGCTGGGAGTGTGGTTTGTTGAGTAGGTGGATGTCATTCTTGAGGATAGGCGTACGCTTCGTAGCTTGAGTCAATGGTTCAGGGAATGTGTGTAGGCTGGTTTGAGAATGGTTATGATGGCAATATATAGGTGCCCAGTCGTGGTTGATCAGTAAGGTGGGTCATTCTCGGAGTTCCGAGATTGGGGCGGGGGAATGGCTGTGAGCGGTTGATGTGCACTGACTAGATCAACACCCATGAATGTGCGTCGTGACTCCGAACAGTAACATCCCAAACTCATCCACAGTCTGCAGCCACCTCTCGATCCTTTCTCTCTGCTCGACTGTTCCCGTATCCGCGGATCGCCACAGCTCTGAGATTTCCAGCATCCCATCCTCCCACGTCAACAAATGACGGTCATACTCCCGTTCCCACGTCTCCCGGTCAGGCGCCTCCCACAACGATCTTCCTTCTGGAGCAAAAACACCCCTTACTTCATCGGCTATGAAGTTTGGCAAGAGTCGGTCGGAGTTGTAAACGCTGCAGAAGAGGTACATGGCGAAGATGGCGCGGCGTTTTGAGGCCACCACAATCCACGACTCCCAACTAGGTCGCGAGTGGGATACCTCGGCCACACAGAAGAAGCCGTTACGAGCCGTGCGAAAGGCCAGTTCCATGAGTGTGATCATGACTTTGTCGGTGACAGCAGCTGGGGCAGCGAGTCGCGGAGAGAAGTATAACATGACGGAGTAGATGAGGTAGGCTTGAAAAGTGGATAGAAGGTTGTAGTCGTGTTGGCTTGGAAGCTGCGATCATGATTTCATTAAATTCCGTAAGTACGAACAGATATGGATTGGCATACCTCGTTGGACAACCTCTCCATCTCCATTTCGATCATGTTGATGACCATGGCTTCACTTCCTGAAACAGCGTTCTCCCACATTCGAACGAGACTGTAGCAATTGGCTAAGGCCTGTGGCAGGCTCTCACCGGAGACTTGTGAGTGATGAATGATAGGAGGTGCTTTGCGGTCCTTCAGCATGAACCGGGGATAGGTGGCCAGAACTCTCGAAATGTACTGCAGTGTAAACGGATGATAAACCTTCAGAACCTCGTCTCGCCCCAGTGGTGGGAGAATATATGGCCGAAGCCAGCGATCTCGAATACTCTCTACCCCTGAAGCAGGGACTAGGTCGATCTTGGTAAAGTCAACATGCGGTTGCTCATCTCTCGCTGACCCCACCTGTCGATGCCTGCGTTCTCGAATCGGCGTAACGCGTCCGGGGCTGCTGTCAAGATAGGATGGTAAAGCTACGGGCATAGCAAACGATGTAGAGGGCTGGAGTTCAGCGAGACCCCTCAAGCCCGGATTCTCCAAGTCTTCGGTCCGAGGACTAGTGTGTGAGGATTCAGGGGCAGTGTAGTATTCGCATACGCGACCGAGAGACTTGCATCGAGAGCATGTAGGTCTTTCGAGACTGCAACGAACTTTGGATTTGGTGCAACTTTGACAGGCCTTCTTCCGTGGGGGAGGTCGCTGTCGTCGTTGGCTTGACTGGGAGGAACTTGGGCTTGCCATGTTGATGTTGTGTGGAACTGGTTTTTAGTGAGTGCTGTGGTGACTACGCGGAGTTCCGAGGCGGGTGGGGGACAAGCGAAAGGAACTCCGCTAGCTGCCAGCTGACATCATTGTTTCGGTTCCGCAGTTATCACTTCTGGTAGCAGCTTTGTAGTATGATGGTTTCTTCAGTGTTGACTGATTTTTTGCGTTTACTGTTCTTTGAAATATACAACATCTCTGGGCAGAATCCACACTTTTTTAAGACCCAAAGAATACTCAAGAGCGCGCAATGGCGACGCGTCGTCTCCCTCGAGGCTTGACGCGACATGCCAACAGGCCGAGACGTGCACTTGTTTGGGCAACGAGACCACTGCTCTGCGCCCAAACGCCTCAAATACTGCAGCATCACGCAACAAGCACCCAAATAAGCGTCTATATCGCACAGCCTCGAAGACAACTCCACACACAAATGCCACTCGAAAAGAGCCCAGGAACCGCGCCACCGTCAGAAGCACTCCGTCCAATCTCGCACGCCTTTGACGCAGCCAGTTCCAAACCACCAACTCAATGCTCAACTCCATTCTCAATCATTCGACCGGAGATCTTCGCACGAACTCAGGACTGCCATCATGCGAACACCATCCACCCATCCTCCCACCGCGTCCCATGGCCAACCTCTCTCCCTATCGCTCTGCAGTCCAAACACTGGCGTCAAGCCGAAGCAGCAGCAACTACATACCTGCAAACCATCAGCACCTCCCACCCGACCCATCCGACCCTCGATCCCGCCCGCACAAGAAAACTCATCGACACGGCGGTATCTTACACTATCCATCTCGTTCCCCTAAGCAATATTACCAAAATACAACTCCTAGCCAAAACATACATCCTCCTCTTCCTCCATGACGATGCATTCGGCACGCAGAACCTTGCTCTTCGTATCCCTCCTCGCAGTGCAGTCTCGCACAACCAGAGCTCTACAGCAGAGTATAATGCTTATAATATCCTAGCCAAGGAGATACTAAGGGAAGACCCTCACGAGGGAGAGCGATTGCTCGAAGAAATTATATCCTGGGGGTCAGCTACGCAGCGCGAGCGACCGAAGACGTTTGGGTCGCTAGAGGAGTATCTCGTGCATGGTTTAGAGGATCTCGGGGCTGAATTGATCCTTCAGACTGTTCGGTTCTCGTGCGGGACTGCGATCGAGGATACTCCGGAGCTAGAGCGTTTGAAAGCGCTGTGCGCGAAGCATTTGTTGCTCACGAATGATCTGTATTCGTATGCGAAGGAGGTCCGGGCGGAAGCGGAGACCGGGGAAGTGGTGCTCAATGCTGTCAGGGTAGTGCGTGGGCTCATGGGCGGCGATGATTTTGATGATGCTCTAGCTGCAAGGGTATTGAGAGTAATGATTCGAGATGTAGAAGATAGGATGAGCGCAGAGTGTCTGCGCTTGGAAAAGCCCGGTGTGCTGTCAGAGGCGCAGATGGTATATGCGCGAGCGACGGTGGTGGCGGTTGCAGGGAATATGTTCTTCTCCGCGACGAGTCCGCGGTATGCTGGGGCTGTCGAGGGGACGAGGCTGGCGTAGCAGCAGCAGCAGCAGCCCAATTCATCGGCTGGGACATGTGAACAACAAAATGTCTCTGGAGCAGAATGACCTTTCTGGAACCCTCGATGACGTTCCAAGTTGTCGTCACACAAACAACAACAGATCACGCCAAGAATGGCTCCCTGCGCTCACTCTTTCCCCTCACACTATTCCCAAAAAGTGCCTAGTTCTTACCATCCAGGCTGCCAGCCACCATATTAAATGGCCCCATCACTCTCTCCTCCCGGAATTCCTTCTTCCTCTCTCTCCTCCTCCCATTATCCTCAGAAGAGAGACGGAATTCATCATGCCATAATGTAGGCAGCATCTCAACCCCCCCCCTGAACAAATCTCTACGGTACTCGGTAGTGGTATTTACCTCTCAGCACCGACAACCCCCCCCCTCGCGAGTTTTGTTTCCAAAGACCCCGAGGGGCCAAGTGTCCTTGCTGTATGCCTTTAAGAGAGTACCAAGATCCATGCGGGCATCAATCAAGCATGCTGCTACTTGCGATTCCCCTCGGGAGTTTGCCCAATGTGGTTGCATGAAAGTCGGTGTCCTACATTTGTTGTAATCCTCTGACTAGATCTGCGAATGTAAAGCTTTGTATAGGGCGCCTAATCCGTAAGATAGTGGTTCTTGCTGGAGATTATATGGAGTAGCTAGTTGCATACCCAGGGACGTACTCGTGACTTAGCTCTGGTACCTCACGCCATTGTTGTTTGACTTTTGGCACGGACCCTCTTTTGACTTTCCCTCGGAAATACTAGCTAACGAGTACAGTACAATGTGCGGGAGCAAGCGAAGCAGAAAGCTTCCTGCCGCGGTCGGTCTACGGTGCGGACTTAGACTTCCCGCGTCTGATAGCCGAGCATGCACGAGGTAGTGATGGGATGGGATGGGATGATGGGATGGAATGGAATGGTGATCCTACGATCCGCACTTTCGAGTAACATTTCGTGGTTGATCGTAGTGTAAGTTGCTGCTTCGGGCGAGAGGCAACCATACAGGGGTTGATCTTTGGCAGAGATACTGTGGATACTCCGCTCGTAAAGGTTGCTTTTGCTGGGCTGGTGGGCAGCAAAATCAGATCATCCGCTATTTGGGTAACCATTGAAGAGGATCCACAAGAGCATATGCTACGCTTTCATAATCTAGGCGTTGGTGAAAGGCAATATTTTGATGGAAGCGTTTTTTGTTCAAACAATTCATTGTGTTTTGGTTGTACTGAGACCATATTACATTGTCAACCAATTAAACACCCAACAAATCAAACCAAACCAAGAATCAAAGACATTAAGCCACAGTCCCGGGCTGAAATCAATCAACGGTGAATAGATATACATGGCCAGCCCGTATCTTTTCATGATCGCACTTGTCGATAACCGTTGCACTTGGATCTTCACAATCGTTTATCCCTTGCAGGCTCAGGTCATCTTCGGCTGTCTCCCTTACAAGGCAGCAGCAATGGCGGCAGCAGCAGCAGCAGCACCACCGAAGACGTAGCTGAAGCGGTCAGAGTTGGCAGCGCCAGTGAAGAGGGTGGAGCTGGCGGAAGCAGAGGGGGTGCTGGAGCTGGAGGGGGTAGCAGAGGCGCTGGCGGAGGTGGGGATCACGGGAGACGAAGTTTGAGCACCAGTGGTAGCGGAATCGCTCGTGGTTGCAGCGGCAGCGGTGGTCTCGCTCTTCTCAGTCGCGGAAGAAGCAGCGCTGGTGGCGGTCTTGTCACTGGCAGAAGAGGCAGCAGAAGTAGCGCTGGAAGCGGTGCCAGAGCTAGTAGCAACATCCTTGTACTCATCGACACCCTTCTGGATGGCATCGGTGATACCAGCAGACAGAGAACTGGCAAGGCTAGAGAGGGACTCGGGAACCTTGGAAGTGAGAGCGTCGGCCAAGCTCTTGGCAGCAGTGTACTGCTTCTGGAGCTGCTGGTAGACAGTGGCACCAGCACCAGCCGAGACGAACTGGTCCTTCTTCGAGATCAGGTCGTTGACCGCAGTCTGAACGTCCTTGGTCAGGTCCTGGACAGGACCAGGGATCTCGAGAGCATCGGTGGAGCTAAGATCGTCGCCGCCGTTAACAGTGGTGGTACCCGAGTTGATAGTTGAGACCAAATCGGTCGAGGCAGACTCGACCTTGGAGGGGTCTCCACCGCTGTAGCTGTTGATGGCAGAATCAAGGGCCTTGACCTTGGTCTCGATGTCGGCAAGAACGCTGGTCACTGCGGCGACATCACGCTCAACAAGGCTGGGCTCACGGACGACCTTAGTAGGGTTGGCCAAGACACTGGTGGCCAGGCCCAGAGTGAAGAGAACACTGGTGAACTTCATTTTGATGATGAGAACGACGGTTGATTAGAGTGATAGATATTAGACTGTGTAGGCTCAACGAATGCTCAAGTCCGATTGCTGTAGGAGGCAGGCGATCTAAAGAATGTATCGATGCTGGTGGTCATGGAAACTGCAAGTGTAGCCCTCTATATATAGAGAGAAGTCTGGCGTACATCCTCACATGTGCACCACGGCACGGGGGCCGAGGCCAATTTCGACCAGGGGAAGGTTTTGCTGCTCCGATGGATCGTGTCATTGCCAGGACCAAGGCTCTCCTCCATGATTGACCCCGATTTAGGACGAAGAGGGTGTGGTGCCTGGGAAAGCTAGGAAGGATCGTCAGTGTGATGGTCGTTCTGGACCAACGATTTGATGACGGGCTCATTTCCCGCTCTGCGAAGTGGCTACAATCTTGATTGCCTCTTTCCAGGGTGTCCGGCTGGCGGAAGATGGCGGCAGCGGTGATCTGTATTCGGAGGTTAGAGTAGACCTCAGTTACTTCGAAATGGGTAGCATTCAAGTTGTGGGCAGCAATTGATTTGAGTTCAATGGTGGACGAACCAACAATTAGCGGCCACCAGTGTTGACCCAGCCGGGGACCCACCCCCGGATTCTCATTTGTTTATTTGTGTTGCATTGGCTAAGAGGACCGACCTAAAGACGGAGCGAGTGATACGATGGTGCATGGCGCAGAAATTTCTCTCAGGGTCTGAGAGTGGGTTGAGTGATTGATCCAGGGAAGAAGAGTAAGACACCATCGCTGCCAGGAATGATGGTGTAAAGTAAAGCGCTCCGTATGAGGAATAGATTCCAGGTGGAGTCCACCAGGAGTCCAGGACTAAAGTTACCCCGCACCTTCCCTGGCTCAAATTCGGGGCTTTCCGTTGGGTGGATTTAACCAGGGATCTTCCGCTTCTTTCCCTCAATTCGGCAGTACGGCCGACTCACGGATAGAGACTGCAACAAATTCCCCATCCCCAACCCCCCAAACATCATGGATCTCTTTGCTTTTGCCCGATTATTGCGGTTAAAAGGCCCATTTTACTCCTGAGGAAAAAAGGGCGCCAGAAGGGTGGAAAAGAAGACCGAGGAGATCTGCAGGTCCGGAAGCAGTGAAGGCTCGAGTTCGCCACTGGGCAGGAGAACCTGGATGCAGTGTCTGTTCCAGTGAGTTTCTGTGGTATTCTGTCCACTGCGCTTGGCTTAGACTATGGAGATGAACTGCTTGCCTACTTACTTTAGCTCCAGGTATCAAAAACCCCGCACGGGTCCAAAAAAGACTAGGGATTCTCCGTAGCTTAGACCCTCCGTCCATGTACTGTCTACTTTCCGTACCTCCGAACCACGCCTCGCTAATATGTGCAAAGAGTCAGAATCTTCACACTCTTCTGTACAAGGTGTTCGTCTGCAGACGTTGTTCTTGTCTCACCTTGCCTCATGTACACTTCCACGTTACACAGATTGATGCTTGGGACGCACATGTTTGCTTTGGATCTTTGAAAGGAAATACAACTCCTTTTTTGCATCAGAGAATGAGTGGGAATGGTGGACGGGATGACCAATTGTTGCTTATTTCAATGCAGCCAATGCATTCCTTGGACCAGGTGGCGAGCATGACGTGACATGAGTCAATTTATCTTACCAACGCTGAATGCATGGTAGCAAAGCCCTATGGAGCTTTGGAATGAGACTCGACCACTTGCTGAGCTATAGCAGCACCCCTGAGGTGTCATGTGCACTCTAGGCCCCTGCTTCCTATTCTTGTTGCTTTGATAATCTGTGCAAATGGGACGTTCGGGTCCAGCCTAGCTATGGACGAATTCTTGTATTGGGCACTATTTAGCACTTCTTCTGACAGCCCCAAGTACCACGTACCTCCCGGACGGTATGATAATTCTTCCCGAATTATGTGAGAGCCCAGATTTTGTTGATGCACCTTGATTGTTCATGCACCTAGAGAATCTACGAACCCACCCCTCCGACGCAGATTGTCTATACTGCACACACACGATTTCCGGCGCCCGCTTCCCACGTCTCCTACATCGGGAAGAAGTCCTTTCTCATAATTTATCCTGAAAATATTCAAACGCCCGTCCGAGTGGAGGCAATATAGCCATATTATGAAACAAGCTTAGTGAACCCGGTTTAAATCTCAACAGGGCCGGAACAGAGATAAGCTTTGTTGCGGATGCTACGAACGCAGACGCCTAACTACCGAACCTATGTTCCTGAATATAATTCGCATACCTAAAACAGATGTTTGGCGAATGAGTAGGTTTCGAGGAGCTACTGAACCACTAACCCAAACTTCACCTCGTTCGACTTTCAAAATAGTTTGTTCGAATCTATGTTTATGATGATCGACGAGCCTGGCCGGGCCACTTCCCCTGCACCCCACAGGTTCCATATTTTGGGTTTAAGATCCGATGTTTCAACCCGAGCAGATCGCCGGTTGAAATTTTTGTCTCACAAACAATCTCCAATTGCTCCAACTTGCAACTGAAGACCTCGTTATACTACAATCGGAATATGCACAGTTCGAAAGTGTTTGACCATCGACAAGTTTGAGACTCGATGAAACGTGCTGTACGTGAGCATATTTGCGACACGTCTAGCCTTTGCTCGTGTAACAAAGAAAATGCGTCTCTGCTGCATCTATCCTGACAATAAGATCTTGGATGAGATGGATAGATTTGTCGTTCGGGAATCTTCCGCCATGCTGAGAGGCATACAGCCATGTTTGCCTATGTCCAAATAGCAGTACGCATTGATGTGATTATGGTCCCCACACTCAAGACTTCATTTTGAAGTATCCTCGAAGACGAATCTGTTGAGTTTCGTACAAAATGGACATAGTGTCGGAACCGAAGAGAAACACCGAGACACGAGGAAGTATGCCTACAATGTAAGTGAACAATGCTGTAGGTCATGCCATGGATGCCTGCAATCATTTTTGGATCTCTAATCCATGCTTACTGGCCTCTAGAGAAATTGGAATCTTCTCTACTACACTGCACGTCAAACTAACATTGATACTCAAAGCAATGTCTTCTCATTTACTGAAACACCCCTTCTCGCCCTGTCAGGGTCGCATGTCGCTCTTGAGGCTCCCATGAGACCCCATTGCTGGTCACCTCATCGCTGGCTTTACATGTCTTTGCATCAAAGTCAGACTGCCAGACTACTCAACTGAGCCCTCTACCTAGCCATATCTGGGTATATCGAACAGGAAGTCCTACATGTCTTGTTTCAGCTCACCGCTGAGTGTTAAATCATATCCGATGACAGCAAACGAAGACTCTTTGCATTTATTCTGCGCAAGTGAGCTATAGTACTTGACTTACTATGACATTGTTCTCTTACCTTAGTAACACGCATTTATTGACGGCCTACTCAGCCATGAGCAAATAGTTAGTTGACCTTTGGTGCTTTGGCAGTATGTAAATGCAATTCATCACAGCCTTACCGCCCTGTCAGCCTTGGACCCACTTCTTGTATATCAAAGCGGTCCGTGCGCAGATACTCAGTGAATCTGCCCTAATGTATATGATCAGGATAAAGTCAGGAACTGAACATCAGTGACCTCACGTGAAGAAATGTTGAAAATTCCATGTTGCTTCTGCCTAATCCTTTGATAACAACTCAAAAAGCCTGTCCCTCTGTTTGCCCAAACCAACCGCCTCTTTTGTTTGTTCATTTTGATCTCCCCATCCATCCCGTGTTAACCCACACAAATTTCTTTCTACCAACATCATCTGAGCTCGGACTTGAACTTCTTTCTTTCAGAGATTCACGAGACTTTGCAGACACCCCAGCTTCTTGAGCCATGGTTGGGACAGGCCAACCGCCGCTAGGTCCTCCAAGAGCCATGGGATCAAGTAGAGCTCGTCGCGGTCGACGTCAAGTCTCTCGGAATCAAGATCCTGAAATGCAGAGAACTGATGTTCAAGACACAAGACCTCCCCACGGAAACCCTCCACATGGAAACCCTCCACGTGGAAACCCTTCTCGTGGACCAAGACTTATGGTGAGAAGAGTGCAGCGCGGAAATGCTCAAACTTTCCCTGTCGCACCGATCGAGACCAGGTACGAGAATTACAGTGCTGCACTCACAAGTCTTTCTGCTAATGCCTTAGACCTTCTACAAGTTCTAGACTTCAAAGAGCTAGCCGAACTCTACCTCCACACACTCAGGAGCCACTTTCAGCACCGCAGATCAAAGACATTCTTGAGAAGGGGCTGTTCATGATCGAGCGAAGCTCAGATGAACGTCAGGATTTTATCAAGAGTCTTGCGACAGAAGAAGGACTTGCTGTTGTTCGACAAATTGTTGAGACAGAGTTTGCCAAGTCATATAGTGTCCTTGGTCTAATGTTTCACGTTCACGGTATCCTCTTTCTTCAGCTTATCACGAATGACAGACTTTTGTCATCCCTTGCGCTCGAACGTCAAGTGGGAACCATTTATAACGTGATCTATGGACCCAGCGGACGTCGTGCTGTTACATTCTTCACTCAAGTGACAGAGCACGTTATTCGCATGAAACCTGAATCAAGCACTGCCAATGAGAGGTCAATGAACAATGACGTGTCTGAATTCGAAGAAACACTGCTGCTTGTTGCAAAGGCTTTTCTTACCACTTTGACCTTGAACCAAGAGGCTGCCATTCAAGCTGCGTTTGCGCCTATTGTTGAAAGTCTTTGTACCTGTTATAGAGACGAAGATATCTTCAGTGGCGTTGCCTCTCATAGCATGCGGTGGGCTCATGACAATATCATAAAGCTGAAAGATGTCTTGTCCATGGGCGAGTCGCTCAATCGCTCCACAGCCGTCTCTTTTCATCATGATACTCAACATAAGCTACCGAAGGCCAAAGAGTTTCAAGTCGACTTACCAGGCGAGCTATCTGCTCATGGGCCTCGACACGACAATGATCACGCCTCTATCCCACACATCCGCCTGCTCCCAACAATAAACGAAATCTTTTCTCTCGAGCGAGCAGAATTTCTCCCAGCGAGAGATCCGGTATTTGATACATTGGATCAACATGAGACTGGTATTCGCCGGCTTCTCGATAGCCAGTTTCGCCTGCTGCGTGAGGATACCGCTGGCTTGCTCCGCGACTCAATTCGTTTGATTTTGCACAACTGGGATGTCCTCGTGCATCAGCCAGATTGGCGCTTGAAGCGAAGGATCTTTCGTGATAGTGGCATCACACCTGCGCGTATCTATCTTGGGGTGAATGTCCGGCAGGTCCGAGCGGGTGGAAAGAAGGGCATTGAAGTTGATCTCGAATTTGACCAGCCTTCAAGACTGAAAGTCATGAGCCCAGCCCGACGCAAGCAATGGTGGCAGAACTCTCAAGCCTTGAAGGAGAGTCCAGTGGTTCTTGCTCTAGTCGACGGTGAAGATCATACAAACGTCTCTGTAACTTTCTTTCAAGTTGCTAAAAGAGATGTCAACCTCAACGCCAATCCACCTGCTTCACGAGAACATGTGCCCACACCCGTCAGTGGTCTCGTTGCTAGTGCTACGCGCGCTTCGATCAGCCTCAGATTGACGAACCACGTTCATGAAACGGAGCTCTCAAATGTTTTCAATTTTGCACTCTTCAAGAACAATACAAAGCCGCTTTTGTTGGCCGAGTTTCCAGCTGTGCTTTTGAACTCATTTGATGGTGTCTTACAATGCTTGCAAGCTCAGTATGCACGCCCAGAGCATCTACCGTTCGCCACCTGGATTGTCCCTCGCCCAGATTGGAATGCCAGAAAGCAGAATGTGTCGATTGATACCGTGGAACAATATGTTACCGTGCCCCCGCCAGCCTATCTTGATGTCCACAAGTCTCTGGATCTATCCTCCCTTTTTGGAGACCCAATTGCGGATGACAGCACTGATACAAGCAGAAGCAGCGATGACCCTACCCCATCCTTCTCTCTCCAAGACGACCCAGCGTGGGTAGCAAATGAGCTTGCGAATACAACAAGCCTCGATAAGGGTCAGGCGACGGCGTTAGTCTGGGCCCTCCGCCGCGAGATCGCACTCATACAAGGACCGCCGGGAACAGGAAAGTCATACGTCGGCATACAGCTGGCCAAGTGCTTGTCAGCGAACCGGGATTTGCTTGACCTTGGTCCGATATTATGTGTATGTTACACTTCCCACGCGCTCGATCAATTTCTGCAAGGTCTTCTCAATGCAGGAATCACAAGCATTGTGCGCCTTGGCCCGCGGAGCGCATTTCCACACTTGGAAGCACTATCTATCGATAGCCATAAACAGGCTGATCGAGGGCCATTTATCCGGGCTTATAATAATCAGCGGAATTCCCACCATGATAAACTCAAGGAAATCACGGCGGAACTCGAACAAGTATGCAAATCGATGGAGACCGGTGGCATGGAGATGACGCTGTGGTTCGTCAAGAAGCGCTTCCCATTTGAAGCAGAACGTATCACAGCTGTCGATCCCGACCGAAGTGAGGTCGAGGCTTTCAGGCTTTGGACACAAGGTGATGATGCTAGTGCTTGGGTGGAGATCGATGGGCCGCGTTCTCCCGAAGAACTTTTGCAGGCCGATGTGTGGACACTCTCGCCGGCAGAACGCATGCGCTTGCATGACTTTTGGCATGAGGGAGCACGCGATGAACTTCGGAAAGTCTTCTCGTCCTTAGTGAAAGCATACTACAGGCAGAAGCAGAACTTGACCGCCATATATCACGCGGCCGAAGCTCGCATGCTGCAAGGATTCCAGGTCATAGGTGTCACGACTACGATGTTGGCGAATCTCTCGTCCCAAATTCGTGGCGTTCAGGCTAGAGTCTTGATTTGCGAGGAGGCTGGAGAGGTACTCGAATCTCATGTTCTGACCGCGCTATTGCCATCGGTGCAGCATGCCATTCTGATCGGAGATCACCTTCAGCTTCGTCCACGGATCAGCACCCTCAGACTTTCCATGAGTTATGACCGTGAAGGAGCAAAATACGGCCTCGATGAATCACTGTTCGAGCGACTCGCGAATAGTCATTTTGGAGGCAATGATGGCGACGAAGGACAGACGGGAGGGCGTCGATTCCCTGTTACGCAATTGAATATCCAGCGACGCATGCATCCTTCAGTTGCTAATCTAGTTCGCGAAACGCTCTATCCGAAGTTGCAAGATCATATTTCCACAACTATGTATCCTGCTGTTGCGGGAATGAAGCACCGACTATTTTGGCTTGACCATCGAAATACAGAAAATGATGGTGACCCTTCAGATCCTATGCATAGCAAGTCTAATACATGGGAAGTCCACATGGTGATATCGCTCGTAAGGCATCTTCTGAGACAAGGAAAGTATGGTCCTGGTGAGATCGCTGTCCTGACACCATACGTCGGTCAATTGAGAATGCTTAAGGATATTCTTGAACAGGAGATGACGCTTATAATTGGTGAGAGAGATGCTGAAGGACTGGGTGAGGCGGAGGTTACAGAAACAGCCAATGAGCCTAGCGGTCGTGGTGAAAGATGCCTCCAGGGACAACGTGTTGTGAGCAAGCGTAGCTTGCTTGACGCTCTGAGACTGTCAACGGTTGACAATTTCCAAGTACGTTAGATCTGTACCACCTTCGGCTTGTCTTCACTTCACTGTGTTGCGCACCAAATTAACAATGAGTTCAATTAAAGGGCGAGGAGGCAACCATTGTTATTGTTTCCCTGGTCCGAAGCAACAGGTTCAGAAATTGCGGTTTCCTTAAGTCACCGAACCGCATCAATGTTCTACTAAGGTAAGCATGTTCGAGAAAATCAAGTTAAGATTGGACAACCGTCGCTGATATTCCCCCCCCCCAGTCGTGCAAAACATGGCATGTACCTCATTGGCGATGCAAACACGGCATCAACAGCGCCGATGTGGGCGTCTGTCATCGAGCTGCTCGAAAAGAACGAGAACATTGGACCGTATCTCGAGCTCGACTGCGAGCGCCATTCCCACAATATCATGCAGGTCTCGTGTCCCGATGATTTCTCCATTAAGTCCCCGGAGGGTGGTTGCGCGGAGACATGCGGCTTGAGACTGAACTGCGGGCATACTTGTGTGCTTAAATGTCACTCATCCAAACAGCACAAAGCAGTCAAATGCCTTCAAAAGTGCTATCGAATGAGCCGGTGCGGTCATCCATGCGCGAAGAAGTGCTACGAGCCATGTGGCCCATGTACCGCCCCTGTCTGCAACGTCATGCTACCTTGTGGTCATAGGATAGACAAGGTTGAATGCTCACGCATGAGCAGACTTGACACTGTGCAATGCACAGCAGAGCTTATCGTTAAATTGCCCTGGTGTGATCACAGCTTCAAGGTTCAATGCCACGAGAAGGAGAAACCCATGAAGTGCTCCCTTCAGTGTGGACTGGAATTACCATGCGGGCATAGTTGTCAGAAAATATGCTCCTCCTGTCGAGTCCAAAGGAAGGAAGTTACTGTTCTTGATCATGGTAAATGCATCAGTGTTTGTCGCAAGGGCTTCACAAATTGCACGCATTCCTGTGACCGTATATGTCATCCTGCAACGGCATGCTTGCCTTGCCGCCGCCCGTGTGAAGTACACTGCAAGCATAGCCGATGTTTTAAGACGTGCAAGGAACCGTGTCCTCCGTGCGCGGAGCTATGTGACTCTGGCTGCGAACACCGCGAAGCTTGCAAGCTCCCCTGTGCCGTTCCATGTGAAAACAATCCATGCAGTCGACGTTGCGAGAAGAGATTGAAGCCGTGTGGACACCAGTGCCCGGGAATGTGTGGAGAGCCCTGTCCACCTTCGCAGTTCTGTCAAATCTGTGCTCCACAAGAAGTCCTGCAACAGCAGGTTGACCTTCTGGAGTTTAAGACCTACAGAGAGATTGACCTGGATGCATCGCCCCTAATCTTTCTCCCGTGCAACCACTTCTATACCGTTGCTTCCCTGGATGGACTTTTAAGTATGAATGATTATTTCAATATTAATGCGTCTACAGGCGAGATAATTGGAGCTAAGCCTGCACATTGGGAGATGATGCCCGGGTCAGCGCTGAAGGGCTGCCCAGAGTGCCGTCGCCCCCTCAGAGACATCAACCGATACAGTCGTATCTTGAAAAGATTTCTGCTGGACGAGTTTACCCGCAAGTTCGTCATTTTGGCCAGTGCACAGCATGCCGAACTCGCAGACAAGATTGTTCGCTTCGAGAAGCAAATTGACGATTCACGGGCCGAGTTCCTCAAGTATTGGATCCATGAAACTGGTGGCTCGAAGAGCAATGACCAAGCTAGAGGCGCGGTACAAGCTTATCGAGCTGCAGGAATTGGCCTGGTCAAGAAGGTGAAGGAATACGTCAAGTCTGTTGCAACCGCGGAACAGCCGCTAGGCAAGTTGAACGACATGCTCGCGTCTGCTACTTCACGCCAAAACGAAACTACAAGCACAAAGCCCATCCCTAATAAATTGGCCATACAAACCGGGTTCGGATTGCGTGGACAGGTCCTCGGGCTCAGACTCGGCTGGGTCGCACTCCGCGATTGGGATCACATTTGCAGCAACCGGAACGTGGATCACCGCATCCGTAATAACCTAGTTCAACTGACGGCCAGTCACATCAAGTCTCTGATTGAAAAGTGTCTTTCGCTGAAGCAGCCCACCATGAAGGCCAATCTACTTCAAGAACGAGTCGAAGCTGGGATCTACTTTGCTCTGTTTTCCATGCTTTCGTTGAGCAACATGCGAGCACTCGGCAAGACTGTCGAGATGGATACCGAGAACAAGACCCGCCAGCGTGCCCAAGACGACCTGGCGTTCTGTGAAAGTTTGTGCAACAAGTCGCCGAGGCTCCTGGGTTACCTGATGGATGATATCAAAGACGCACGGAGGACTATCAATGATGGGGCGTTCTATGCTCTGGTGACCAGCGAGGAGAAACGCCAGGTGTACAGAGCAATGGCGGAGCAGTTCGCAGGTACGGGGCATTGGTACTATTGCCAAAACAATCACCCAGTAAGTGTCTGTCTTTTCAAGGCTGAAGTACAATGTCGTGCTTTTGTTTCATCACCCACCATTCTGTGCTACTCACAGAGTTGCTAATGTATTCATCTTATAGTTCACCATTGGCGAATGCGGCATGCCCATGGAGGAGGCCCGATGTCCCCAGTGCGAGGCCCCAGTTGGAGGGTTGAACCATCAGCTCGCTGAAGGCGCGAGACCAGCCGAGGATATGGACCGGGAATTTGGCGAGACAGAACTCACCGAGCAGGACATCAGGGAGGGGATGATAATGGAGGAGCTGAGAGAAGAAATGGTGGCCGGTGGAGTAGAAGGAAATCTGATCGAGATGTAAAACAGAGGACGAAGAAACACTCGGTACTGTTTTGGAAGAGGTCATCAGAAAACGCCAGTCATGAAGGATGGGGTAGTGGAATAAATTGCAAGAACATGTGACTTATTTTGGGAAGGTAGAATGAATCTAGAGTGCTGAGGATTTGTCGTGCCCCTCCATCCCTCCTCCATCCTACATCCACCAACCCACCCATCTCTGAGCTGTCAAATGCCCCTCCTTCCATGCGGCATTTTTCTCTCATCTCTGCCCCTCCCCCTTCGCCTCTCCACCACCATTCTAATACCACACATATCATGTTCGAGCATGAGCATTGGAGCATGCAAGAATTTCCCCCCAGCGCGTACAGCGGGAAAAGAATGTGGCAGCCTTATCAGGCGAGGGGATGAGCGGAGCCCAGCGGCTAGGGCGAAAAGCAAATTAAACTCGACCGAGAGTGCCTTGCATGCAGCTAGCTGCCTACAGCTGCAGCTTTGTTCCCCTCCATTCCACGTTTACTTTCCGCCTTCTGACCTCAACTGGGAAGAGAAATTGACGATCGCTCCCAAGCTTCGCTTCTGGGCTTTCCAGGTTCCGACATCCCCGGCCAGATTGGATCGATATGATACGCGCAACGGTTACGGGGATCTTATGCAGAAGAGGGAGGGGGCCTGTGTTGTGCGGGAGGTGCAAGCTGCTACTGCCTGCGGATACGACGATAGATGGGTAAGTGTCTCTTGCTTCGCTGTGGGTGGTTGTGCTGTTGATGTTGAGGTAGGCTGCTCATGTTGACTAAGAACGACTCGAGGACTGACTAGAGTTCCTTCCAAGAACACACCAGAAAGCGAGAAGCTGAAGATGTTGGGATACAGGACCTGAGACTGCTAATTTAGAAGAGGGGCCGAATGGCATCACACTGATACGACCGCGCTCTAGATAGACGGTTCTTGTTACGAGTGCAATCGAAACAGACGAGCCATAACCCCCACCACTCAATTCGAACCCCTTCGTATGGCTGCCTTCGCCTACACACGCCCCTCCTCTATCCACCGCCCACCATCCACACCTGTTTTCCTTCTACCCGCCGATCTCATTTGAGCTCTTGCTCGTCGCAGACAACAGGCCTCTCAGACACATACATGATGCAGCAGCAGCAACAGCAGCAGCAGGCCATTTGGGCATTTCGACATGCAGCATACAGCTCGACCACCTGATAACATTTTACCTACCTACTTACCCACCAACCCTGCAGTCCACATACGCAAAACTCAATTCCCTCACCGTGATAGGGCTGATAGAGCTCCAAGGTACCTCCAGCTACTCTGCCTGGAAGTATACCTGCACGAGCTTCCGATTCACTGTGGACCCAGCTGTGTTCCCACGCTTACAGCTGCTGGATGCTTGCTGTACGCTGTATGCTAAAATGCCCAAACTGGATCCTGCCACGCAAGAAAGCAAGCAGCTCTCTGTACATGCAGTGGACCTTTGACACCTCACCTCCACCCCAAGGCAACTGAATATCGAGGGTTTTGGAGGGGTAGGAGTGGGATGTATTCAACCCACTATCTATATCGATGCCGTAGACGAGACCAGAAGAATAGGGATATAAACCCCCTCGAGCACCCAGCTGGATCACCTCTTCCATCCCAAGCCATCCCAGCCAACGGAGCATCGAACAGTCTTCTTCAATCCAAAGCATCCTCAATCCGGAATAACATCATTCAAAATGGTCCAGGACGCTAAGGTGAACAGCTCTTCCTCATTTCCAGATACCCTCAAAATCAAAACAAGAAAAGACAAGCTGACGACTTCCCGTGGAAAAAGAACCTCTACTACTCCCTGGACTGGTTCCAGCAGATGAAGAAACAGTACGACGAAGCGGTAGGTTTCTACAATGACCGGTGCTGCACGGACTCCTGACGCTGACTATGTGCCTGCTTCGCCCAGTCCTCCGACCGCTGCTGTGAGTCTTGAACCCACCCACTTAATCCGTCCTTTGTGCACGCGGAAGGGAAATGAAGTTGGCTAACCACAACTCCAGTGGGCATGTCCTTTGACGAGGCCGCCCGCCACATCTCCAAGGATGGACTTTCCATGACCGCCGATGAGGCCAAGGAGTTCGACGAGAACCACGACGGCAGCATCAACTTCGAGGGTAGGTGCTTCTTTTCATGCTTCTTTTCATGAAATTCTTTTCAGCCAGGTACAGAGCTAACAGCTGATGGATACAAAGAGTACCTGACCATGCGCTTCAAGTACGATGCCCTCCGCGAGGGCAACATGCGCGGCCGTCTCCTCGCATAAGCGTACAGACATTGAAACGCAAATGCACATACAACGCTGGAAGGGTGGGAGGGATCAAGACTCTATTCCCTTATATACATAGATCAAGACCCCAGCGGCATGATAATGACATGACAACGAATCAACACTTATACTCACTGCTTCCTTAGCGTAGAACAGAACTGAGAGAGACTCTAGGAATAGTAAGCTATTAGCAAACCCTCACCCCACCCAGCACAGAAAAGAATGATCGCCAAAGCAACCCTTTAAACCCCAAAAGAGGGAAAGCATCTCCAGCAGCCCCACCCCCATAATAAAGATATAGAGCCCAGCCCCCCTAAGCAGGAATCCTCAACACCGCCCTCCCCTCCACCGCAAACCGCCCCAACAACCCCGCCACCTCATTGATCTCCCCCAGCTCAAACACCGTCACATGGGTGACCACCTTCCCCGCGACCGCCATCCGCAGCAGCGCCTGCATCTCATCCTCGGTGCCCACGGCGCTGCCCACGATCCGGTACCCGCGGTCCACGCACATCAGCGGCGAGATGGGGAGGTGGTAGTCCGGCCGAGGCAGGCCCACGCAGACCAGGGTGCCGACGGGTCGGAGGAACTCCACGCTCTGCTCGTAGGCCTTTTCCAGGCCGACGACCACGATCACGGCGTGAGCGCCGATGCCGTCGGTCAGGGATTGGATGTGGGCTGTGGGCTGCATTTCGGGTTCTTAGTTTTCATGACGACAAGATTTAGTAGATGGTGGGTAAAAAACTCATACGTCGTCGCTAAAGTCCACAAATGCCGCCGCGCCGGACTGCATGCAGATGTCTCGCTTGGCTGCGCTGTAAGCTTGTTAGCTGGGAATTCATTGTTCGGCTGGAAAGGTGAGAGGTGAGAGAGACTTGCCTATCCACGGCAATGATCCTGTAGCCCATTTCCTTGCCGATTTGGATTCCTCTATCCGCCGGGAGCAGTTAGTACACCGTGTATGCTGGATTAGAGGGGAGGAGAGAGAATGGGGAGGGATACAGATGACCAAGTCCCCCGCCGGCACCCATGATCACCACCCAATCGCCCTTGTCGCAGTATTTGTCTAGCTTGTTCAATGCGCCGTACATGGTGAGACCAGCTTGAGATAGACTCATTAGATATAAAGCAAGCATGTACATGGAAGGAGGGGAAAGCTATACCACACAGCAACGGGGCAACATACTCCGGCTTCAGGTTCTCCGGAATCGGAGACACGAAGTCGGCGGGTGAGACGACGTACTCTATAAGAACCTTAGATCAGCCATTCACCCGAACAACCCGAACAAAAAAAGGATCAACTCACGCTGAAACGTCCCTGGCACACTCTGAGTCATAAATGGTTAGTCTTTTCAGAACTCCACCCCAAATGAGAAAGCGATATATCATGAACACATACCCGCCCCGAATTCATCTGATTCGGACAATTGGTATACTGGACCTTGCACGTCGGACAGTCGTTGCAACTACTCCATAGCCATCTATGAAACAACAAGAAGAGTCAGCATATATACCAAGCAATCTTACCCCCTCCACACCAGTAAACGGAAAGCAAATCCGATGAGACGGAGGGAACAGACTTGACACCAACGCGCATCCCCAGCATATCACTCGGGGCATTCGGACCGACTATAGTTGAATGCACACAATCAGCCAACCACCTCTCATCCTCGCACACGATACAACAGCGCCAGAAAGAAAGTCACGAAGGAGAGGACACACGCTTAACCACCCTCCCCACCCCCTCATGCCCAACCACATTAACACTCAACGGCAATTCCCCATAAATGCAATGCAGATCGGAGTGACTAGCAAGTATGTAATCAGTCCCAGTGCCCAGTCCGGGGCATGAAAGACCGGAAAAAGGCGAACGCACCAGAAACCAGTACACTCCAGCTTAATCAAAACCTCACCGTCAGCCGGCTCGGGGACGGGGACATCATGCCGCAGTTCCAGTTGCGCGTGCGGGCGTGGATTCTCGATCCAGGCGGCAGTCTGGACTTGCGGGATGGAAGTCATTTTCTTTTTGTTATGGGAGACGGGGGGAGATGCTTTCGATGGGTTGTGTATAGGTGAGTGGAGAGCAAGGAGCAGGGAACTGAACGTGGAAGTTGTCTATGATCGCAGCTTCGATTTGGTTCTGCGGGGGGAGACCCGTATAATGGGGAACGGACGGATCGAACTCGGCAATCGCGATCCCGATTTCTAGTGCCGATAGCGGAGATACGGGTTTGTCGATCATGGCGGACGTGGGGGGAGGAGGTGGTGGGGTATAGCCGGTGAGGGGGGGTTCTTCAGGATCGATCGATCGGTTCCATTCGCTGAGGCTGGCCCAGGGTAGAGGAGATTCGATATTTGATGATTCTGCAGCATAGTATGCGTTCGAAGCTGAATTGGTTTGGAAATATTCCAAGGGAAAGGTAAGCTGAATAGGAAGTTGATTGTTAGACAGTTATCGCCCTCCCCCCAAGTCAACCAGCTGCATAGAAGCAGGTGCAACAGATACGATACCTGATATCTGCTTTGAATCATCTTTCATTATATTATGACCTCAGACTCTGAGACATACATAGTAGCACGGATATTTATAGTGCCCGCATAAGCACTAACGACCAGTAGATGAGTTTACACTTGACCCCCTACTCCTCCGTGCACTCTCGGGGCAAAGCTATATCAATAGTCCTTATAACTCTTCCAGCAGCGCATATATACTAAGCCCCTACGCTACCTACAACCTCCAACTTCAAAATCCCATTCTACCTTCAGCCTCACAAAACCTGCACCAAATATAGCGTCATCACACAAAACCGAAACCATGAAACCCAGCCCCATCATGCTCCCACTATCCTCCCTCCTCCTGCTACCAATCCCCATACCTCTCATCCTCGCAGCCGCCACCTTCGTTGACCTCGTACCAGCTCCTGACCCCATTCCCCCACCTAGAAGTCATCTCTAACGTCGAACATGAAAAAGGAAGTAAGCTTCTACGGCTCCACCCTGGGGATCCCTGACTCCACGGCCTCCGTGCAAGTCCCCATCGGCAACCGCTCCGTGGTGCCGGCCACCTGTACGGATCTCCCTCTGACGTAGGTTCTTCTCACTCCTTGGGTATACCGTCTTGGTCGCTTTCGCTCTTTTCGGGAACGGGGGACTTGGCTGATTGATGTGCTGCAAGGGCGTACAATGCGACATTGTTACCGCAGGATCCTCCGGTTGAAGTCGAGTGTTATCTTCTTGGGTGCGTTATTTGCTTTGTTCTGTTGTGCTGTGCTAGGTTGTGCACTGAGGCCACTGGGTGGCGGGTACAGCTGGGCTATGAGAAGGAAGGGTGCTGGTCTGGGGGATATGAGCTGACAAAAGTGCTGCATGAACTAGGCTACCCTGTCGGGATGTTGTGGGGACGATTTCGACGGAAGATACTTTTATCAAGCTGCTGAATCCGGCGAGGGCGGTGCAATGTTATCCCGAGTAAGTACTAGGTCATTGGAAGGGAGGTGTAGTTGGGGATTGGAGAGATTATAGACGGTCCATCCAGTCTACTGGGTATGGATAACATGCTTGTCGATATCATATAGCTTCAATTGAATGAGCACGGTATACATAACCAATTTGCATAGGCAAAGCTCTAACGCCCACTTCCCATCTCATCAATTTGCGGAGCAAGCAAGCAACAGTCTATCTGAGCCACAAACAACAAGTCAAAAGTCCAAGCCTGAACTCATACAACCTCTCTTTGAACACTCACAACCACCTAGTTAGATTGATTCACCTTCGACGCCAGAAACTCTGCTGCATCTTTTGCGTACAAACCGTACGTCGTATGAGGCGGCGTTACAATCAAGATATTGTCGCACACCACATCGCCCGGTGCGCAATACACCTTGGTTCGGTCCTGCGGGTAGCCCGGGATGCCCCCGCGGTCCTGGATGTTGCGCGTGTACCCGAACAGCACCACCCCATTGATCCTGTTGCGGACCTCGTGCTTGACGTCTTGAATTGCGTAGTCGATGACGGCGGTGCCTTGACTGTGACATTCCCTTGCGTCAGCTGTGAGCTTGTGAGAGGGTGTTGGGGGGGGGGGTGGAAAGAGCAAGAAGGTAAGAAAGACGAGCTCTTGATTTGACAGATATGTAGATGAAGGCATACCTGTATCCACCCGCCACTACCTGAGTGTTCGGGCACTTGGTAGTCGCCAGCTCGAGCATGGTGGCCGCTGACGCGATGGATTTCGCATCCGTGTTCGGAGAAAGCCAGTTTTGAGGGAAGCTGGCGGTGTACATGCCATCGACACCCTGGCAGGCAACTTGATTCGGACTGATTCGCTCTTTCAGCGTAGCGCAGAGAAGAGGGCCGATGACCGCGCCCTGTGTTGGTGTCAGTTCGGGTCAGGGGAGCGTGCATTGAGGCGGCAACTCAAGGAAAAGGGATCTTCCTCACCATGTTGCCCACTTCCCCGGATCCACGAACAAAGATCAAGGTGAAGTCCTTGCAAAGACCGCTCATAATATCATTCGCATCGGTGGGGGATTGACGAGCCTGAAGGTGGTCGGCCTCCGGCACAGGCAGAGGATTTGCTACAGCCAGCGAACCAAAGACAACACCGACAAGCAGCCACTTAAAACTGGCCATTCTCTTGAAAAGATGAGAGATAGAGTCGAATATGAACTGAGAGTTGAATCTGACGGGTCGTCGTTTATCCTGTCAAAAAAAGAGATTCAGCGCGAATATATATTGCCCACTAATCATGGTAGCACAATGGATTGGCTCAGAGCCAGCGGTGATCTATCCCAGACCCGGTAACAAGGTCGCTTTCGTCTGTGGCGACTACTTAAGGACATCGCCGATTCGAAGATGACCTGGACCGAGAGGAATCAGGTTTAGTTTCAGGGGGCGGATGTGGAAAGTTGGGAGGGAGACCTGTGTGCCCCGAGGCAAGGAAATCAAGGTAAATAAACCCCGGGGAGAGCTTACTCGAGCACCGATCCATAGAACAACATGAAATATTTCGGGGCTCAGGCAATGCGGAAACAGCCGACCCACTGTCGGACCCCAAGCCAAAACCGCGTGTATGGGTATATTCCCTGGTCAACTTGGGTCGGTCATGTGGTCAAGGGTAAAGGATAAAGAAATCTCCCACGGTCTGAGTGTTATCAAGATCCTGTTTTTGACACATGGGTAGAGTTTTTGCTGACACGGTCAGATTTTTCTGCTTCAAAAAGCCTAAATCGCTGTTCATATACGTAGCCAGAAACCTTTATGGAAATCAACAGATCTCTGCTGTCTTTCTGGTACCTTCTCAATGAATTTAGGGCAATGATGACAGTAAGCAGTTGCAGTAGACCCGCGGTTTCAGGCATTAGTCCAGGAATGTTGTCGCCTTGGGTGCCGAGCTTTGGTCAGAGAAGAGTCTGCCTGGATACGTCAGTTGAGTTTTGCTCTCGCTGACCCCTGTCTAAAAGGCCCTCCATGCTTCCTGTACCACGAAATTCCGAAAGTAACAAGAAGGGCGCTCTACAAGCAAAGGAGAAAAAAAGCATATGCACAGCATTGGCATGGAGACCAGTCGATCACATGTTTCGCTTTGTACGTACAACATCACCGCACTTCATTATGTGTATATCAACGTGTCATGTACTTTTAAACCATCGGCCTGCTCGGATTGACTCTCACGAGCTCGTCAAGCGTCCATACAGCGTGCTAATAAAGGTCTCTCCCCATTTCGCACTATTCAAACCATCGATTAGTAAACGTCATGACCCACGAACCAGAGCTAGAAAACTCACCTAGTGTTTGTCTCAATAAACTTTCGCAAAGTCTCGTAGTTCTTCTCTCGGTCCTCATCGCCCATGGTCACGGCCTTGTGAAGGGCATCGACCATTTCCGCCATGTTGGCCGGGTGGAAGGTCAGACAGCCCTCTTTCATGAACGACGCCGCTCCAGCGAACTCGGACAGGACCAGCACACCGTGTCGTTGCGCCTGGCACGCCACGTATTCGAACGATACCAAGTTCATACCATCGCGCGTAGATGTGAGGAGACACGCGTCCGCGACTGAGTACAATGCCGTCAGCTCGCTGAAGTTGACGGATCGGTGCATGTAGATCAGTGGACACCCGTCGGCCGTTGCTGCAGAAAAGAGTCGCTTAGCTAGGACCCCAGACAGTCGTGAAGCAGTTCAAAATGAGTAAAAAAACTCACAGTGCTTTCCATTGATCCTTCCCGCAATGGTGCTGATTTCCGTCTCCAGATCCTGATACTCCTTGACATCTTCGCGACTCGGCACGGCCACTTGGATCAACACCACCTTGTTGCTGAGCTCCGGGTGCTGGTCCAGGAACGTGTCGTATGCCTTCAGCTTCTGCGTAAGCCCCTTGATGTGGTCCAACCGATCCACCCCGATAATGATCTTCATGCCCTTGTACCGCTCCTGCAGCTCCTTGATGCGTTTCTGCACATCATCGTTCGCCTGCGAGTCCGCGAACTTCTGCGGATCGATCCCGACAATGAATTTCTCCACCACAACCTTCCGACCTCTGTACTCGATCTGTCCGGGGGTATCGGTTTTTGCGCCACTGTCACACACCACAGACAGTGTTAGCACTAGCTCCAAGTGTGGTTTTCCAGTAAACATGAAGAGCGAAGAAAAGGGACAGAAGAGGAAACGCACAGTGCCTCGGCAGAGTGAATCATGTTCTGCTTGTACTCCTCCGTATGGAACCCGATCACATCACTGGCAAGCATCCCATCCAGCAGATCCTTCTGCACTGGCAGACTTCTCCACCAGTCGCCCGCAGGGAAGGGGGTGTGCAGGGAGAACCCAATCGCGCAGTTCTTGTCCTTCAGCCGGTCGCGCAGCAGCCGAGGTAGAAGCATGAGATGATAGTCGTGCACCCAGATTAGTGTGCCCGGAATGGCCTTCTCGGCGATCGTGTCGGCGAAGATCTCGTTGACGCGTTTGTACGACTCCCAGGGGCCTTCTTCGAAGGAGACACCAGACTGGTAGTGTAGACTAGGCCAGAGGATCGAGTCTGTAGGACGGGTTAGCTTGACTTGGGTTCAAATAGGAAAGAGACACAGGAGGAAAAAGTGCTGCCTACTGGAGAAGTTGTTGTAGTGATCGTGCGCCAACTCATTGTCTAGGAAGATCGGAATCGCGTTGTGTTCGTCCAAGCTCTTGCGAAGCGACTCCCGGTCCTTCTCTTCGGCGACGTCAAGGCCTGGCCAGCCGAACCAGCTGAATTGGGTGGTTTTAGTGAGACCCGACAGTGAGGTGACCAGGCCGCCGCCCGACAGGGAGGTTTGGTAGGAGCCCTCATCAGCCTTCTTGACCGAGAGGGGGAGACGGTTGGAGACGACGAAGAGGTTTTGCTTGGTGCTTTCTCTGCGCGCCATGATGGACACACGACTGAGTGGATTGAGATAGTTGAGATAGCGTAGAGGTGTGCTATGTGATACTGTTGTTCTCGGCAAACCGATCTGAACGGTGGTGAAACGGTGTCAAAAAGGAAATAGAGAAGTAGATAAGGCTGATATAGTTTGATGTACAGATGTAGTATGCAATACGTCAGGATGAAGGCACGGAGCCACGGACTTTGACCCTCAATTGTCCTTGCGGGCTGGCATCAGCTTATGTCTCGGCAACATCCCTGGAAGATGCGCCCAACCAATGACTACTTGAAATTGGATCAACTGTCACGGCAATCTCCCGAGCGTGAAAGAAAGCTGGATGCTGGGTGGTTGATGCAAGTGCTCATACCAATTTACTTCACCGGCGAAGCTGCTGGTGGCTTGAACGTTGACGTCATACAGCTGTCATTAGGTACTAAGTATGTGTAACATCCCAGTCAATGACCACAACCTTAGCGTTTATTCACCACTTTCTGAAGATTCAAATTATATTTGGATCATGGTTCAGAAACAAATCTGATATGTACACAATACCCTTATCCAAACTCCCAGGCCCAGCCGGGACACATGCACTGAACACCTAACCATATTGTTTTCCTACTGATAAAACAACTTGAACTCCGTTGCAACCAGCAAATGCGATATAAATGATAAACCAAAGATAACCACACAAGACCATCATGGAGAGGCTGAGGGTGATAGACTAATAAATAGCTCACAGCAATCGCTTGACTGGACTTGGGGTGCGTAGGCGGGAATTCCGGCTACGGCCCCGTTCGGTCGCAAATCCCTTTCCTTGCGGTTGTTCCAGAAGCAGGGGTGCATCCTGTTTTTCAAATCCGGAGACTGATCCCTGGCCCTGAGGGCCCATGTACCCGTAACCTGGGTCATGCTGGTAGGAGTATTGCGATTGAGCGATCGGCGGATGGTGCTGACCGGAGGCCTGTCTTGTGAAAGCTGGGGCGGGAGGAGAGTAATCATGTTGGTTGTAGCGGTTGCGGAAGGATCGGAAGGACCAGTTGCTGACGACGGTGACGGTCGAAATAGTAGCTAGGAAGAACAACTGAGATGATGTTAGCTGTGTAGCCAGGCAAGGGTGTAGGTGGATCCATACAATCGCTTTCCAACTGATCGGGTCAATGAAGCTGTTGATGATCACTGCCATCGTATGCGCCGACACTTTGGCACGGCCAACCTTGGCCGGGTCCCGATTCATGCATCGTTCCCAGTTCTCACACACAGTCTCCAGCGCTGGAAGACGATCGCCGCCGGCGCATCGATTGTCAACATAGCTCTTCGCACACGCCGCCATCTCCGCCAGAATAGTGTCCGACACCTCCTCGGCCGCCTGATCAAATTCAGCACGGATAGCAGAAACGAAGCCGAAAACCACGTAGACGGCTAGCGAGAATAAGGAAAGGTTCACCACCAACTGCGCCCACCACGAGAGAATGCTCGGGATATTCGGGTGCGCTTCCAGTAGGGCAAAGAAGTCGGAAAACGAAGCCAAACGCGATCCAGATTGGCCTTCAGGCTGTGTTTGGTCTTGCCGTGTCTTTGTACTCTCCAGGGGTCCTGCGTCCGGATTGTCACTCTCATCATCACTGTCCTCCTTCCTCAACTGTACATCTAGCGCCTTATCCCTGCGACGTCTCTTCTGAACACGTCGCGCCAGTGCGTTCGAGTAGTGGCTCACGCGAGGGATTTCTCCGCGGCCCGGGCTAGGTGCAAACCGACCGTACATGCTGTACAACGAGTTGCGGTGTCCTGACTTCGTAGGTTGATCGGGGGTGTCTTCGTTGTCGGCATGCTCGGGGGAAGACATGTTTTCGGCGCCGGATGAGAAGTCGACATCGAATTTGCGAGGGGTCATGAAAGCTGCGTGGCTGAAGGCGGGCTTAGGGGTGCCTGGTGGCTGCTGGGTTCTAGGTTGAGAGAAAAGGTAGGGTTGCGAATTCGGCTCTCGAAGGGCAGGTAGGGACTTTTTTCCAGGGGAATCGAAAATACTGTGAGGGCCTACTGGCATAGTTAGCTTTTAGCAAGCTCTCTCCATGCAAGTAACATGAACGATCAAAGTTGATAGACGCACGTTTCCTCTGGTTGTCATGCTTCATGCCGACCTGGTAAAAAGGCGACGTCACATCTCCGGGGGGTTTGGACTGCCACTCGAAGTCCATCGGACTTTCCGCCGTGCGCGGCTCCATCTTGTCGGAGAGAGAAAGTGGTAATCAGTATCAAGAAATAGGAAGGCAGGTGGTGGTGAGAATATAAGTTGGGGTCGTTTGAGGACGGTGAAGGGGTTGAGAGGGTCGGAGGGCGGCCAGATGCAGATGGACTTTTTTCCGATTCCTGGTTCCTTTTTTTTGTTTTGGTAAACAATCCAGACTCTCCGCCGAGCAACGCTTGGTGGCGACTACCCGCCTTAGACCCCGACAATAGGAAATCGTGTTTCTCTTTATGATAATTCTAATCACATGGATGTCAACTTGACAAAAAGTGCTTCGTGGTTGACAAGCTGCTACATACGAAGGGGCTGTAGGGCGGATTTCGACGTCGTGGTGATTGCATATGCAAGTCTGCAGGAGCGCGGTCGGGTGGGCTTGAGCTACTGACCGCCATCACCTTACATTTCTTCTACTATGGTCTCGATCCCTTGCCAGTCAAAATATTATCTCGTAACTTATCCATAAATACTATGTATGTCAATCAAATTAGACAACTGTATTGCAGGCGATCATAGCGACAATGCGGGTAGCCTCCACTTACTCGCCGCCAGCCCCTGCAATGGGTTGGTTAATCGCGACCACGTTGCACACTAAATCTTCCCCGCACTCCTCACTCTACACTCTATGCATCCATCTAATCAGAGCCATGAAGAGAATCAAAAATATATACGTGCTCTAATGTACTGTCTAAAGCCAGACTAAACTAATAAGCTAGGACCGAGCCTGATGATAATAACAATGTGCTGATTAAAAACCAGAAAAAGACCTCAGGCTTGCCCCAGCACGCCCATCAAGAGGAGTGAATACCAAGCACGGAGACATGATGCATGAATGATGATGATACAATCGACCGAAAGTTCAACGCAAAAGAATACACACCCGTTGTCGATTCCCAACTCCAATCCGGAAAGATCATCACGCTAGAAAAACAGTAAGAGAGTGTAGGACCAGGATTCAAGGATGGACGTGGTCCACCAGTTCGAAGTCATCATCATCCGCCAGATAACCGATAGCGGTCTCGCTCTCGCGAGAGATTATCTCATACGTCTTGATAATCTTCTCTGTTTCCTTGATCTCAAACTTCTCAACCGCCTTGCTCACGGCGTCTGAGAGTATAGTCTGCCCCGAAACGTCATAGTCGTGCAAGGAGCCATCCTTGTCCTCGAGCTCCTCTTGGATTCGAGTGACTGACCCCGGGGCGGCGACATCATCACCGGAAGAGTCGGACGGACCACTCTCGAGGGCCTCCCGGACATCGGCGCGAAGGGCAATCTTCGCATCGCTGGCCAGGTGGTTGGACTCTCTCTCGCGATCGAACCGCAGGGCACGTGTGAAGCTATCCCACCTCGGTCAGATTTGCACTAGACTAGGCAACCACGGGAGCTTGGGGCCTTACTTCATGCTATGGGTGATCGGCATCGCTGGGCGAGCGGGAGGAAGGGCGGACGAGAGGGGGTCAGGAACAGTACGAGCACGTCGACTACCGTAAGCCCATTTCGCCTTGTGGTCGTGAGCCCGCTTCGCCTCCTTATCCGCCCGACGCATATCAAGCAGGGATTCGGACATGACGGTCAACGGAGTTACACGCTGTCTGTCAAACGAAGTGGTATGATGAACGAGCTGTGACTGGGTCTGAGGAGACGTGTAGTACACGCTTCGGAGGAGGAATGAGTGGTTGCTTGGACGAGCTCCAAGTGATGGGGGTTGAGGAGTGAAGGGATATAAAGCCAGGGAAACAAGGCTGGCTGGCGTAAGGCGCGAGAAGGAAGGGTCCCGAGTCTGAGTAATGAACCACGAACCAAAGAAGTCCGATAAACAATGACCGTGGCTACAAGGCGTTCTTGGTCTGAGTCATAAAGAGACCCGGCTGGTTTCCAGTCATCAGCGATCCGGATATTGGTCAAGGCGGCAAATGGCGCAATCCAAGGGGGACGAACCTCACTGCAAGTGAGATGGAGGCGAAAGGAAAGTAGAGAAGGAAGTGACAACCTTGTGAGGAGGGGATGGGCTAGTAGTCATTCCCTGAAATGAGGGATGGGGGATGGAGGAGGGTTATGCTCTCAATAGCCCCCTGAAGGGTTACTACTATTGGTACCTTCGTAGTTAGTTCGTCGCAGTAAGTCAGATACGAAAATGGTAGCACGGGGTACAGGACAAAGACGGGGAGCTGATGGCCGGATGATAGGTCATCTGTTGAATATCATTCATTCTTTCTCTTTCTATTTATGAACAAGCACTTGGCAGCCTGCTTATTGACCATCTCCACAAAGGGTTTTTACTTTTTTGAGGCAAGACAAGATCGTTATCGGGAAAACCATGGGGGATAAAGTGAGCAAGGATGAGTGGCCAGCCTCTCCTGGATTGTTCGTTATCGCAGTTTGCCGATCCCCCGAGCGCCACTGCCCCAACCATGGTTTATCTTCCCCTCCATTGTTCCTTATCCCGAGGTTAAAGGAATTATTGAGAATTTTGAGACGTTTGGAACCAAAGATGGGCTGTCAATCCGATCCACTAAATCCAGGCACGTTGGCTTATCTGGACGTTTACTTGCTGAGGCATGGCATGATGATGATTGTCGCTTGTTGTTCTCCACGCAAGGATTCACAGTATAAGTACAGTATGTACAGTATATGCCAGTCCAGGCTCTGCGGTGGACGAATAAGGGAAACCGCCGTGCTCACGGGGAATGACCGAAACCCAGGTGATGACGCTTGTCAGCCACAGTTCTGGTGAACGTGATCCCATCAAGCGCATCAAGCGAGTCATCAGCTGCACGTCTTCCCTGTCGCTGATCGGAATTCCGTTAGCGCGGCCGGTGACTCGATGGCTGATCGTCTAATTAATGGCTGGGGAAGGAGTAAAGAAAGAGGAGTGGGAGGCTTAGAGGTCATGCCGGTGCCGGCACAGCCATGACATCAGCGAGTATGTCAAGTCAACTGGCAGGTTCGCAATTCCTCCACTCGCCGCCAACCTGCGACGGAGATACTTTGCATCAAACCGAACCGGATGTGATTATAACTCATATACTCATATACTCATAACTGCGAAGCGCCAGGAATATGCACAGAAACTCTTCCCAAATCACGTCGGGGTCCAAATCCGGTAATTATCAATGTCATCATGGCCTGTGTCCAGCACTGGATCCGTGTAACAGAAGTCATAGCAGAGTCATAGGTATCTAAACCACACACGCATACACACCACTCTTCAAAAAAGCAGTTACTCATCCATCTGCCATTCGTAATCCAACGCCTCCAACCTCCCCTTCCGATTCCTAGCCGCAAACCACTCCTTCTCGAACCCGTTACTCCTATCCACACCATCCCACCGATGACCCGGCCGGATCCCATAGCGATTCGGCTGGAACGCCCCTTTATACAAGGGCTTCCCCGTCACGCTGGTACCGGGCCCGGCGGTCTTGGTCAAGAACTGCGCGGCGGGGTCATTCCAGCGCTGGCGCGCCTTGAGCTCGTCGTTCAGCTCGTCGTCCTCGGCGGTTCGCGCCAGCGGCATCGCCTTGGCCTCCTGTAGCTGCTGCCGCCTCTCCTCGCGCTGCTGCCGCTGCACATCGCCCATGAGCGCCTCGCGCGCCTCTTCCTCCTTGAGCTTCTTCTCCTCCTCTGCCCGACGCGCCTCCGCCCGCTTCAGCGCCACATTGATGATCCGCCCGGAGGCATCACGGTAGATCGTCTCCTGCGCCTGCTCCCCAGCGGCCGCGGCGCTGCCCTTATACCGGGCCGCCTCCAGCTTCTTCCTCCGCTCCTGCGCCGCCACCATGGCCGCTGTATCCGCCGCCGTCTGCAGTCCCGCTCGCGCGCCGGACTCCATCCTCATCCCATCATAATCGTCTTCATCCTCATCTGCAACAACCGGCGCCTCGTCCTCGTCATCCCCGTCATCCCCTCCGCGCCCGGCCTTCCGTTCCGCCGCCGCCGACGCCAATATCGCATCCGCCGCATCCCTCTCCGCATCGGCATCCGCGCTGCCAATCGTCTTCCACCCGGATTTCTTCGCCCGCCGGAACTCCCCGCCGGCGCCCCCGCTGCGTGCGCCCGACACGATCGCCGGGTTATATTCGTCATCATCTACATCCCGGGCGCCGGAGGCGGCGCGGAGATCCGGCGGATCGTCATCGGCGATGATGAGGCCGGATTCTTCGGGTTTGGTGGTTTTCTTGCGTTTCTTCTTGGGGCGGTCGGTCGGCGCCGGGTCGGCGGTCAGGTAGTTTTTGGCGAGGTAGTCTGCTAGCGAGGAGGAGGGCATTGTAGTGTGTTTTATTTCGTGAAAGGTAGGTCTCAAAGACGTAGATAGATTGTAGGAACAAGTAGTGGATGTGTATAGACGTGGTTAAGGAGAGAAGGTAGAGCAAGGTAGTGTTTAGAAACTCGAAAGAGCAGTGTAAAGTACCGAGTGAACTCGGGAAAGCTCCCAGCCCAGTCTAAACTGGCAGCCCGGAGGATCAGTTCTGCCGGTAATCTATTGCGCCTCCGTAAAATACAATACCATGCTTTTCACCCTCCTCCACCATAACTTACAATGCATCTAGATCTATCAATGCAGCCGTCAGTCATAATCAATCCGCAAACCCCCCTCCCCCCTTGACCATAGAGCTCAGACACCTCCAGCCATCGCCACCTCACACCTCATACACATACATCCAGGCCACAAGAAAGATGCCCCGCTCCGACGAAGCAGAATGGTGGATCAACGCCGTCTACGAAGCGATCCAAGAAATCCCCCGCGGCCGAGTAACCTCCTACGGCCATATCGCCTGCCTCCTGGGATATCGTATGTATCACGCAGTGCTTAGTGCCTGTCTATCCCCTTCAGATCCTTAAAAAACCTAAGTTCTTGGTTCCTCCAAGTCTGTAGACACCCAACTAACTCAAGAGACGAAAATCAGCTAAACGCCCCCGCCAAGTAGGCGTAAGCCTCAAACATCTGCCCTCTGCGCCGTCGAATGCGGAGATAAATGCGGAGGGCGAGGTAGAGGCCGATGGCGAAGAAGAAGCAGAACCCGCCGTAACCCCATTCTTCCACTCCGGGAACGTCCCCTGGCAGCGTGTGATCAATTCCAAGGGGATGATCTCGCATCGGTATGTCTTCCCTTTAACCACTGTTGTCTCTGGACTGTATGCTTTCGTTTTTCGTGGTTTCTTTTTGCTGATGTTGTTCGGCGGGGGGGGGGCAGTGGGCCAGGAAGTGCAGAGCGGCAGGCTGAAGTGCTGCGAGCGGAGGGCGTGGAGGTGGAGGTGGATAGTATGGGGGAGTACTATGTGGATTTTGCGCGGTTTGGGTGGTTTCCTGACGTGTTGCCGAGTGAAGAAGGGTTGGAGTCGGATGAAGGAGATGGGGAGGGCGAGGGGGAGGAGGAGGAGGGAGAGGGACGTAGTGATAGTGATAGGAATAGAAATCGAAATGAGTGGCTTGTTTGATATTAATCCTACTCCTACTGCCTTCGGGATATAGATTTACTGTAGGTCTGTCTCAAATAGAGCAATATCTCGTAAGACTATGGCAAGCAGTCCTAGTAGTAAGGAAGTCGTCGGTCAAATAGACTTTCATAGTGTCTTTCATAGTGTGAGAGCAAGATGGACTTCTATACGGGTAGAATATTTGAAGCGAAGAGAATAAAGTGTAAAGAGGGTCTGTGGAGAAGACCGGCACAGTAGACGACCATGCAATCAATCATGTGTAGGGCAATCATAAACATCCAGTCAAACGGGCCAGTAAGGAACCAAAAAATATAGAATATAAAAGATCCGCCTCTCGAAATCATACCAAAGGAAACTCGTCGCCGGACTCCGCGATGCACACAGATATCACGGGTCCTCTCTCATTCCTAACTTCCTTTTCGTGGGTCTTTTCCTCTTCCCTTTTATCTCCGTTTAACCTCGGTCGCCCATCCGTCAATCCCCTCGCCTCGACTCCCAGGGGGTATGCCCAGGTCTACCGCCTCCATGCCGAGCGTGTCCTTCATCCATTCATGGGCAGCCATACCGCCAGCGTTGGCTCGTCTTTCGGGAGAGACTTCGAGCATCGGAAGGAGGAACTCGCTGATGCGCAAGCTCTCCTCCACGCTGAAGTGATACTTCTCCCGTAGCACGTCAGGGAGTGCCCAGTGGCGCAAGCGGTGGATGTTGCGCAACTCTCCCTTGCGGTTGAAAATTTCCTGGGACCACTTCCCCGATAGGCAGAGAGACTTGGGGAACGGGCCCAGCAGCTCGATGATTTGTGCAATGTGGTCGTCATCTTTGCCGTACTTGGTGCCTGATTGCGGGTCGAACAAGTAGTCGCCTGTTATTAATTCGAAGACCTGTTGTACGGTCAGAGGACAGACGCAGTAGCCGGGATGTACCTGCAACTCACCATGCATGCCATACTCCAAATGTCTGTACTAGCTCCCCACTTGGATCCTAGAATGACCTCAGGCGAACGGTATTGTCGCGTCTGGATGTCGTTCGTGAAATGATGCCCAACCCAGCACGCATTGCCCAGATCGGCAATCTTCACGGAAATGATATCACAATCCAGCTCATCACTCGGGGTGGAAGACTTGTCGAGCGAGATGCCCGATACCTCTCGTTCCAAGAGATCACTAACACCAATTAGTACATGATTTTTGACCTTCGTTCCATCGGGAGTAGACATACGCAGT